ATATAGTAGCATTGCTACTAAATTAATAAAGAAATCAGAATTAATTCAAATCCATTATTCATCCATGCAGAGATGGCATGAATCAATTTTTACCCTGACTTATTACACATACAGAAGACTTAGTGCAATCTGTGGAATTTAAGTTAGTCATAGCTAACAAGTCCCACTGATTTTTAAGGACATTTATAAAGAGGTCAGCCCCATGGAACACAAGTGCAATTTATTTCTCAGTATGCATGCCTAAAATGTACTACTAACTAGGAGACTAAGCTAATTACAATCTCTGACAAATGTACCAGTGTCACAAGTACATTTTCAAACCCCTGTCCATCACTGTTATACTTTACACTGTTCATTTAACGTTACATTTCATATTGTTATTATCAAGTATGTGTGGATTTCTAAGATACAATATCAGGTTCTGAGCAGATGCATTTCTAAGTGACTATACCTTTGTTCTTTCAAGTTTATAATGCTTATTGCAAACTTGTTAATCTCCTTCAGTTGCTCAAAATGCAATACACGTCATTTAATGCAAACAGTGCAGGCAGTACTAAATAAAATGTCAGGAAATGCGGGCACCACCTACTTAAACAAACACCTACTCCTTTAACAGTACAGGAGGTCACAAAAAAGATGACAATCACAGTTGTATTTGTATAAGCCCTCCCATCCTCTCACTGGTTAATAGTCCTGATGTACTACCTCCTGAATCACAAGGAGTTGTATTAAGTGCCAGCTGTTAGACAAGTAACAATTTTAAAAAAGCTTATCCCACCACTATTGGGGCCAGGTTACCTGAGAGACCGCCTCTCCCTGATTACATCTGCCTGTCCCATAAGATCTGGCAGAGAAGGCATGCTGCAGATCCCATTTGTCAGGGAATTACATTTGGCGGGTCCCAGGAGGCGGGCCTTCTCTGCTGTGGCACCCGCCTTGTGGAATCTTCTCCCCCCAGAAGTACGATTAGCTCCATCCCTCTTAACATTCCGCAAGTCCCTCAAGACCTGGCTATCTGATCAGGCCTGGAGATCCCAGGGGACCAGGGAGATTTTATGATGGCTTCCTTATTAATTTTACCCCCTCCTATTTTGTGTGTTTTTAGAGGGTTTTTTTTAATGTGTAATTGTTTTTATGTATTTTTTTTTTAATTGTTGTACGCCTCCCAGAGTCACCTTTGTGAGATGGGCGGCTATATAAATCTGATAAATAAATAAAATAAATTCTGCTTGTGAACTTCTTCAATGCATCTCTTGAACCAGAATGTTTACTGTTCTGATTCAGTAGGAAACTTCTTAAATAACATACAACTGCCATTATAAATGTGGCTACTGAAGAATTTGAAATGGGTCAGAGCTCACAAAGGTACCTGAGGGTAAGTGGATTCTGAATTGCTGGTTGGTTGTGGCTTGACTTTAAGATGTGATAGTAGAATTGCAAAGAGCAGGGAATGACTTAAGACTAAACAGTGAAGTATTAACTGACATGGGGAGATATGTTGGAAGGCTGACTTTTATCCAAGTTTTTATCATGGCTGAACAGTAATCTGATATGTATCACTGAAATGTAACTGACAGAAAAGGAGGGTTTATTTTTTCCAGCTCTGCTACTCAGCTCCTCCAGTACCACAGCTAGACCTGGAGGGCAGGATGATGGTGTGCTACGGTGTATAGAAATTCTGTCTTGTAACCAAATACTCCATCTTTCATTTTGAGTGTGTACTGCCATGTTAGGTGGTGAAGACAGCAAACAGTTGCTATTAGTGTATTATCCACTAACTACCTCTCAGCCTCTGTATTAGTCAGGGTGATCTTCTGTATCACCCTGGAGGTTGGCTGATCAGGAATGGATCAACTAGTATCTACCACTGCAGGGCACACACTACACTTAATATTCAACTTGAGTAGAGCTGGCAACTTGAAGGTGAAAATGTCCTCATGGCAGACATGGACAGATCATTCCCTAGTCAGAGATGAAAGACATATCTGCAGTGGTGGAGGATCAGTTAAAATGATCTGTTCCAATACCTGATGAGTCTAGATCATCTCAAAGTTGCTTGGGAAATTTCTCAGATTATCTATCAGTGATACTGCCAATGCTCTGGATGAACTTGGAATATAGAGACTCCCAGGCTGACACTATTAGGCTTAGTAGGGAGATAAGGCTGAGAAAGTAGATGCAACACAAGTTGGAGCACATCTACCTCAAAACAGTGAGGCCCATTTGAACTCCAACTCTACTGCAAGGCAAGCAATGCACAGTGCTTTGTCTCCATTGTGTCTGTACAGAACATGTGTTACCTCTACTAATTCCATTACACTTCAATAAAGATGTACATTCTGTACTGTTTTTGTAAGTTTCCACTGTCATTTGATATTACTTGAAGTTTTTGATTGTTGTTTGAACACTATTATACTTTATAAGCTGCCTAGAGTTGTGATACAGGCAACATATAAGTTTGATTGATTGAATAAATAAATGTTAGGAAAAGGAGCTGGAACAATTGGCAGTTCTCTGTGAGCAACTACTGTCATTCTTTGTGGTTAAACTCATCTTGGCTTAAACCCCAGGGTTGGGGTAGGTTGTCATATAACCTTATCAACTACTTCCCCAGTTATTCTGGATTATTTTCAGCCTGTAGATCACAAGGATATGAATAGAGTATATAAAGTAAAAAGGCCACCACCCGGTTACTCAACACTTCAACCTTCACTTAGGACGGGACTGGCTCCATGGCTAAGGGGATCAATACTTCCTTGCAGGAAGAAAGTGTTTCTCCCCTGCCTAAACAAATCAGTAATAAGACCTTTATTGAAGAAACCCTCCCTTGACCTGAGACATATATAGTTATATGCTGTTCTCAAAAATATTGTTTCTGGGAAAGGTGATCTAGAAGGTGGTAGCCTCCCCTCTCTAGACCCACCTGAATGATACTGATTTTCTGAATCCATTTCTATGGGTCTTTCAGACAAGCAGTGAAACTGCTCTGGTCACCTTAGTGGATGACAAATGTTGTCTGATATCCATATTTTAAACTCAATGGTGTCTCATAAAGTTCCCATTTTGGGCCCCTTTCTGTCCAACGTCTACACAAAACCACTGGAAGAAGGTCATCAGGAATTTAAGAATGGCATATCATCAGTGCTGTGGCTACATTCTGTATAGACTACTGTAATGTGTTCTACATGCAGCTATCCTGAAAAAGTGTCCAGAAGTTTTAATGGGTCCAAAATGATGCAGTTCAGCTGATAACTGCTGCAAAATACAAGGTTCATATGACTGTACTGCAATATCTACATTGTTTGCCAACTGTTTACCAAACAAATTTAAAGGTATTGGTCTTCTAAATTGCTTAGAATCTACTATCTGTAGAGTGCCTCTTCCATTACAAACTTTTTTAGGTGTTAAGATCTATAGGAGAGATTTTGAGCTTGATTCTAACTGTCAGAGGTTTTTCTTTCTGGCACATCAGAGAGGGCCTTACACTGCATCACTCTGAATTTATGGAGCGAATTCCTTCAAGAGTCGCTTCTGGTCCCAACTCTTGCAGCATTTAAAAAGTCTATAAATCTTCATTAGGCTTTTAATTATTACATATTTGTGTGTGTGTGTGTGTAGGTAGTCCTCACTTACTGACCACAATTACAACCAGCAACTCTGTCGCTAAGCGATGTGGTCATAAAGTGAAATATCACATGACCACACCCAATTTACGATGTCAGTTTGTCAGTTCCAGCTGCAGGCTTAAGCAAATCACCATGGGCCATTAAGCACAACTTCACGTGACCGCAACGTGCAACTTCCTGCCAGCTTCCCCATTGACTTTGCTTGTCAGAAGCCAGCTGTGAAGGTCACAAATGGCAATCACATGACCCCAGAATGCTGCAACTGTTATAAATATGTGCTGGTTGCCAAGTGTCCAAACCATGATCACATGACTGCAGGGACATTGCAATGGCCGCAACTTCAAGGACTGGTTGTAAGCCTCCTTTTTCAGCACCACTGTAACTTATGGTCACTGAACAAGTGGTTGGGAAGGGAGGGAGGGAG